GAGAAGGAGGTGGTACTGACTGAAAAAAGATCTAGAAGCTGCAGTCACCTGCTCATCATAAATGTTCACTCTGACACTGGTAACAGGAAGGATTAACCTGCATCGGGAAGTAGGAAGTAGGGGAGATGATAGTTTTATCTCTGGATATATCACTGGTGAGACCAATGTATACCGTGTTCTTGTCCACGTTTTGAAAAAAATGTTGAAAAATTGGAGAGGAGGCAGATTAAGAGCAGAAAACGTGATTTGAGAATTGAAGAAAAATGCTGCTAAGTGAGACTTAAAGATCTCAATCTGTTTATCCTATCAAAAAGATTGACTTGATTACAACATATAAGTACCTCTAAGCAGAAAAAAGAAACCTGGATTCTGAAGGGCTCTTTAATCTAGCAGAAAATGGCGTAACAAGATGCTGTAGTAGAAACTGAAATCAGACATATTCAAGTGAAGCACACATTTTTTCTTCTTAAGGTGACAATACATCGCTGGAACAAGCTGACAAAGGCACCATTTTCTAATGGGTTTATGTACCCCAGCTAGGACAAGATATCATTCTGGAAGACACGTTTCAGCCAAATGCAGGTTACAGCCCTCAGTTGCTTGTACATGTGTGAAATTTAATGACATAGAAGGAGATCAGACTACATAACTAAATGGCCCTTTGTGGTCTTACTTCATTATTTCTTGTTATACTAAGTAAATATAAGAAGGGGTGGCTAGTGGTGAGCATCTGCTCAAGATGACATTCTTTGTCAACTGACTGCAATGAGTGTCTGTGAAAAACATGACTACCCTAAGTGTGTAGATTTTTAAATAATCACAGTACATGAGACATTCTTGGCAAAAAAATTATGAAATATCAAAAGACAACATTAGCCACCTATTTTCATTTGTCAATGCACTAAGCTGACAAGATTTTAATTCACCTGGGTCACAAAGGAACCCAGAAGACCTTAAGGAGAAGCTGAATGAAAAGGCAGAAGCATGAATCCATTAAAAACACTGACCATCAGACTTGGGTAATGTGATAATTAAACTGCAAGCTTTGAAATGCTGGCAGACAAACCAGACAACTAATTCTATATGCAATATTGCACTAGTAAATATACATCAGTTTTAAATATTCATGTATTTCTTGCCCAGCTTGTGCATAGATGAATCAAGTTACCTTACCTGAAGCTATGATCCCTCATAATGAGCTGTGGTATGCAGGGAAGACTAAAAGGTTTGACACTGACAAGTAATATCTACCTCTCTGAAAGTAGCCAGGACCACAAAACTGAATTGTGTTGCACATAAACTATTGAGAACTGCATTTAAACGTTAATGAACTAAGAGTCTTCTTAATTGTTCTATTTACCACTATGTGAATTTGCATCTTCTCTCTTCTGCTTACGAAGTTGATATGGCAGTGTTCATCTCCATGTCCTTTCTGTTCTTATCATCTCTCCCCCTCTCTAAAGTTTATTACACGAAGGCACAACCTTTTCAACAAATAAAGAGCATCCTCTAAACTGTGCAGAAAACCAAAAGCCATAAACAAATAGAACAGTAGAATAACAATACATTCCTTACAGAAGGAAGAAAGAATACAGTTGGAGAGGGAGGCTTCATTTTGGAGTTAGCATGTAAATATTTTTCCACTACACTACCCCAAAATTCAAAACAAGGGTGCTTTCCAAGCAAGAAAACAATTTTATCCAAAAGACTCACAGATTTTTGAACTACCTAAGTTTGGTTTGCAAACCCAAACACCTTGCAAATGGTTCTGTCTTCCAGAAATTATTTAGAAAAATTCCAGACCTTCTAGATGGTCTTAAGGATGGAAGCCTTCAAAATTACCGTATGTTCTGCAAATACAAGATGGTGCATAAAGTAAGGTCTCAGCTCTTCCCCTGTCTTTTCCCCAGGAAAAGTTGTGGGCTCCATTTGTAGAATTAAAAAGAATTCCCAACTCCATATGGAGTAAACAAAAGCTGCAAGATCCCTGCACTTATGAAAATCAGATTTTGGGGCACTTCAATTAATAATTGAAGTGTCATAGCTACTTCTATTGGTATCAACATCACCTGTGGAACTCAAACATTAATAGTCTGGTGCATGTAACTGAGACAGGAAAGAAAAAGCATTAGGAGGTTGAAGGGCATTCATTACCTTTTTGATGCCTAGAGGAATAGCATTGCCGTGCTACTGAAGGCCAACCAAAGGTGAAGACTGATCATTCTATACAGTAAAGAGAAGTAGTTAGGCTCTCAAGTTGCAGCATCTGATGCCTTCAAAGTAACACTATTACAATTAGCTGGCTGGCAAAACATGTTGTTCAGGACTTCAAGGCTCAAAACATCAAAACATCAGTTGGTGAGGCTTGCACCCTAAAAGCATTAGCAAAGACAACAAGCACAGCCAAAGGAATACTGAATTTAAAAGCAAAATACGGCTACAGGACAATTCCTGGAGATTACATTCTGCATATCAGAGGTGATCAAATGCCATTCCCTTGAAACACACATAGGCCACATCTTCTTTCAGACAGCACATCTCCAGATGCCTGAAGGTCACACATACTATGAAGAGTCTAGGTGGAGGAAAACACTGGGAGCAGTTCAAAACCAGCGAAAGTCTGCATCCTTTGGAGGCAAGGCAAGGACCTGTCAAGTACCAGAGCTTACTGCTGTCCCTGCCAAGAGCTGGATGAGCAGGAGACAACAGCAGCCTGAAAGAGTCACGGACACTGAAAGGACATCCCACCTCTCCATTGGGCTGGACATTCAACTCAGGCCTGTGGCAACCACAAGTTGCTAGCTTTAATCCCACTTGCTTCTGAAGCAGAAAATCATTCAAATTGCTTGCAAGTCTTTTGTGATTTTATAGACCCAGCTTAGTGCCCATGTTGGTTATTTAAGTCTATTAAATTACATTATATTTTCATGAATTAAAAAGTAGGGTAGTCCAAATAGGACTATTTATAACCCTTGAACATGCAACCCTTCAAGACTGACTTTTGTTGATTCAAGTCAGTAATAATAATTACAGATCTAACTGTTATTATTCCCATGTTTAATAAAAGAAGACTTGCAACATACTTTAATAAAGGGTAGACTGTCTGAGGTGGCTGATATCAAAATTGTAATACTCTTTTTTAAATAACTGATGCATCTTGTACATTATCCTTTAATCAATGTTGGCAAACTGGGTCATGTTATATCCTTCTAATGCTCATTTTGGTGGGAGGTGAAAGAATTTTAAACCTCATAGGAGGAGGAATCTTGCAGGATTTAGGAAACAGCATACTGTTTCACCCATTATGTTTTAAGCAGATCGTTTCTTGAGGTAGATATGTGCTTTAGGAAAGATCCTCGTGATAAAAATAATGCTTAATGAATCTCATTACTCAGGTTTATGAAGTCGCTTGCCCATTCTGTAATTCAGAGGGATTAAATCACTCCTGCAAATTAAAAATGGACAATCAGAACAGGGCTTCTGTTTGCTGTTTGCATCAGGCAGACAAAAGAGGGAGCAGGAGCAACAAGGAAATCACATTCAAGAATTTTAATAAATAAGGATATTTCAAATCTCAGACTTTAATTTTATCTCAAGATCTTGTTGATTCCAAAGTAAAGGACTATCTAATCTTTATTCTTATGGTTTATAACATTACCAAAATCTTTTGATAGCCATATAATTCCTATTTGCCTGTTTCATTGTGCTTTAGACAGAGAAGCCTAGGGGAAAACAGCTAATAGAAGCAAGGTGTTTTCATCCTTATTATGTGTCTGTACGTGATGATTTTTAATAAACAAAAAGATATTGAAAGTGCATGTAGCTTTTTTTTTCCTCCTCAGTGTTTTTCAATTTTTCATTTGTTTTTTGAAATGGAGGAATCTTTATATTCTTAGCATAGAAAGGGGTTCACAGGGAGAGATAGTGAAAAATTAGAGAATCAGATACTGCTCTACTGTGGTCACTGCAGCTAGTGTGGGCACGTATGAGCAATCTTTAAACTACCAAGCTTGGATGTTGCTAAAGAAGTAGCAAAAGTAACACAATGCTCATCAAGGCAAGCTACAGACTCTTCATCAAGGCTGGGGATTTGGCATGTGGCTCAAACACTGCTGAAGTCAGAGTCCTGTCATGCACATGGCTATGATTGTATGTGCTGGCAGAACAGATCAAAGATCAGTCCTTGGTTTATCTTGGAAGTTAGAAGATAAAATACATGCATGAAGATTACAAAAGTTGAAGAAGCAATTAGTATAAAGCCTGGGCTTCGCTCATCAGCCAGCTGCATCAAATAGGTATTTTTCTAAATCTTTTGTAGAAACTTTTGAACCAGGCTTCACTAGATATTCCTGAGACAATAAACACTGAAGAGCATTAACAGCAGAGGTGACAAAGCAGAGAAAGGGTGAGCTCTCCACTTTCATGGTTTGTAATGACAGGAATCTTAAGAAAAACCTATAAACCTGGTTTTCCTCAAAAATGTAGCTTTCATGGCTGTTTCCCACCTGAAAAAAAAACAAAAGAAAAAAAAATCTCCTATGATTTCGAAAAGAAAAAAAAATAGGAAATTTTTAGCAGACTAAGTATATGGCATCCTGAAATACCTTTTTAATGGTAACATGTTTCAAATAATGTAAATACTGGGTGTAGGTTAGAGAGATGGTTTCAGTTAGGTGGTTTATTACTTCTCTGTCTTCAAAAAGAAATGAAGCAGCAACAGGGAGAGGACTAACTTCTTCAGGACAGTGTTAGCTATATGAAACCAGAAGGCACTTCTGGTCTATGTCAGCTCTCTCATTCTAGCAGAGGCAGAAGTTAAGTATTTCAATGGCCCTTTTGTCTGTCTGTACACTGTTAGTTAAAAAGCACAGCTATGCCAAACACTGTTATTGTGATAACTGGAAGCAGTTTTAATACCTAGTTCCCCATGAAGAAAGTAAAGCAACCTGTTGCCTAATGGATACGCATTCAAATACAATTCAAGTCTGTCCTTGATGCACCCGGGTTTTTGTACACCATCTCAGTAATGTCAGCAATTTTTCAGTATTTTCTTTTTTTTCAGTTTTATCTCCAGCAACTCTTTCCTAGTGAGAATAAAAGGTTAGTTTGTGGCAAAGCATTTTTCCTGAGATCAAAGGATATAAACAAGAAATATAAGCACCTCTCAGGACAAGAATTATGCTAAGCAGCTCACTCTTCTTAGCATTCCCAGCTCTTACATAACTTTAAAAGTCCCTTTTGTTAGATTGAAGAAAACAGCTTGCATACGGATAATAAAGTGTACAGAAAGGCCAAGTCAAAGCCAGTGTGTTGCTTAAAGTTACTCTCAGGAGTGTGCTAGGTAAGGATCTGAAATCCCATCTCCTGCATCCAGCACGGTGCCCTGCACATGGAGTGCATTTCACATTTGGAAGTTGAGAATGAGCCATTGTTTTAAATTTTTTACACAGCAAAAAGTGGAAGTCCCAGCCCCTAACTAGGATGAAAAAGGAGAAAAGCCTATCCTTGCTGCTGAAACAGTGTAATCCCTGTTTCTGTTTCTTAATGACTCAGAAGACCACTTCCTCCAAAGAAGACACCCATGAAAAGCACCAACTGTTTTTGTGGATAGAGCTGAGGCAAACCTAGGACAGAAGCTGAGGAAGAAGCTGATAGAACATGAGATGTGGCACTTAATGAGCTAGCACAACCTTTACTCTGGAATAGAGCTTTGATGTGGATACCTACAGATCTTTTGCAATATGATCAGTATATGCATAAAAAAATAAACTAGTTTCCACTGTAGAAATGGCTACGTGTAAACAGATGAGAGAATGGGACTGTGAACAAGAATGCTTTTTGACCATTTTCAGACACATTTTCACTTTGACAAAGACATTCACAACTGAATAGCTGGAGTCTGAGCACTGCTATTTCTTTTGCCATCAGACACTTAAGGAGCACTATCAGATATTAAGACAGTGTGAATTGGTCTCTTGAAAACAGCAATTCACACAGTATTTTTAAGATTTTTTTAAAGGAAGAATAGTAGAGAAAAGCTTTGTCAGCTGCAAACCAAAAGTTGCAATTTGAGGGAAATGGTTCAAATCCCTGGGTCTTTCAGTTATGTAGACTCATGAGCTGTGCTGGTAGACTTATGAGCCCTGCCACCGAGGCAGAAAGAAGGATTCATTCTTTCCAAGAATATTTTTATTTAATCATTCAGAAGTGATTTTCTCCTGAGACACCCTCCATTCAAACTTTCAAGGCATTCTTTGCCAAGACATCCTTTCTCTTGGGGTGTCTTTGGATTTCACAGGTAAAGAAATGCAGACTTGATTGCTCACTCAATCAGTTATAGTAGAGATGAGAACACTGCATAGTCCTCTGTACTTGGCAACACAGAAGAATACAAAGACTTACTCTACAGGCATATCAGAAAGCATGAAGCCAAATGAGTCACAAAATACAAGGCCTGTCAACAGTGCAATGGAAAGAAATCAAAACGAACTTCTACCTTATTTTAGAAAAGAGCTATAGGGAATATCTGACAAGTACATAAACCTAAAATGTATACATACTAATAAAAACTAAATAAAGAAAAAATACATCATTTTAACATGCTCTTTTAGTACCTACTTACATAAAACAATACAGAATGGTACGTTTAGGGATAAGGATGCCATTAAATTATATACTTCACAACCAGCTGTGGTCCATTAAAACTACATTCCTTCCTGAATCATAACTGTCTTCAAACATTTAATGTCAACAGCAACATAAACCCAAAATATGTAATTTTACATCACCTGTATTGCATCCTGTACATAAGCAACCCATTTCTAAAGGTTTGTCTCAACACATTTTTAGAATCAGTGTAGCAGTTCAGCCACATTAAAACTAGCACAACCACTGAAACACATTCTTACCACTGGTATTTGGAAGTGTTAAATGAGTAGCTCAAATCAGCATATTGCCTTTTAAAATAGGGCTACTTATATGGATGTATATAATTCTTCTTAATCATGTAGACATTTGATTCATCTTCAAAGGTTAATCCCTAAATTTTAGAACTCTTCAATGAAATTTCAGTATACTACCTAACATAAACTGACCCACCGTAGCAAAATTAGGTATCTCAGATTACTTTTTAAGATGGTCCTTTGCTTTTTATTACAGTCTTTGGCCTTCAAAAGACAACACTGCTCTATTTTTGACCCTTCTCTGTAAATCAATTCATATGTTCTTTAAGCCTAGTGCCTTGTTAGTCAGTTCATTTACAGTGGCAGATTGGCAATAAGGGTTTTTGTACCATTCTGGAAGCTTTGGTTTCTTTTCAGATATCAAACAATTTCTAAGTATTCTTAGTAATGGAAGTAATAATTGTGCCATTATTTTCCAATCAGAAACCTCTGTTGATAGAAAATGGGATTTTTTTTTTGCGTAACAATTTTAGTCCTGAGTATCTTTTACACTTTACTGCTCCCATTTTCTCAGAAGCTAGCTTTAAGAACTGGTGTAGTAAGGGGACTTCAAGTATCCCAAAGAGTGTTCCCTTTTCTTTTTCCTTTCCAAAGAAAATGGAAGTTGCTAGGAAAAAATATGTGTCTGACCCAGTACAGAATCATTAGAAAAATCTAATATTTTTAATTTTGTTACTCTGAGGCTTTTTTTCAGTATACTAATTCTCACAAGAATGAAAGTCAGACACTAATTAGTTTTATAATACTGCAAGCTACCAAAAATTGAGACAGTTAATTAGAATTTCTCCCTTACCAGTCTAAAAAAAAAATCAATCCAATAAGAAGGTTAAGCAAAATGGTAAATAACAGGACTGTATTCAGGGAGGTTCCAGAATCTACTCAATACTGAAAGTAGTATGGAACTTTTGGCATAATAAGGCATTATAAACCCAGCTGTTGGGAACTATACGTGAGACTTTCAAAAGTTTACAACTCCACAGATAAATTTGTCTGTTTGAAAACTACCTGGTGATCGGTGTGCTGAAGTGACAGTTTCTGCCCAGGGACAACATAACTACTAATGGACTCTTTCACAGCCCCCTCTTTGCTGTGCCTTGCTGCAGAATAATATGTACAAACTCTTGGTGTAAAGAATGGACTAAAGCTTTCACTTGATTTCTCTTTTACAATGTCTACATGTCTGCTTTCTTCTGTTTTGTTTAAAGGCTAGAGGCATATAGCCCTTAGTGGCCTTGAAAGCCCATAGTGTAATTTTAAGAGACTGTCTAGGATAAAGAGTCTAAAAGTTAACCTAATTTGACAGTAGTCCCACCTGGAGGAGGTTAATTTATAAAAATGCATAGGAAAGGCCAGGTTTTCTATCTGATCCTTGCTATTCTAGGTAACAACAGTGAAAAAGAAAACACATATGGTAGCAACATAGGAATGCAAATCAGCAAGACTCCTGTGCTAATATATAATGAACCCTTTCTCCTTCGTGCTGCAGCAAGGTCTAACAGGGAAATAAATATACACAAAAAACTCCAAACAGCTTATTTTCAGATTTTAATTTTTTTACAAGATTTCACAAGACCTCTGTAATGGTGGGTTGAATGGTCAGCATAAGATGGGTCTGAAAGACTGTGTCCAGACAGTTTCTAGCATGTCTCACTATCACTATATCCATAATTGATACTAACAGAGAACCTCATTAGCTGTCTCCAAAGATAGAGGCCAATGAGAAACCTGAAAGGACATGGGGGATAAACAGCTGTCCAAATTATGATGCACCTTGCTCAGGCATCAGGGGTTAAGCTGGTCACCAGGTCTGGGGCCAAAAATTTTATTCAGAGCAGATTGGCAAGGAAGTCTGTGAAGGTTTTGGTCTTTATCAATAGCATGAGGGATTTTCACTTTGTAGGACCTTCTAGACTTCTTTAGGGGACAAATTCTTCTGATCCTTTAGAGTCTGAACACACTGTTATTGCCTCAGTCTCTTCTACTCTTTTCCTTGTAGTGTGGTGTGCTTTTGTGGTTCTTGCTTTTGTATTATGGACTTTAACGTTATTACAAGCTTAGAGGAAGTGCTCTTTGGCTCCTGGGATACACAGAAAGTAGCCTTTTTGTTGACTTACCTGTACTAAACATGCGCCAGAGGTCTGTCTGCTACTTCAGAGGTCTAAATTTGATGTTGGAGGTGATGTCTTCAAGAATGCCTGTTCCATCTAGATGGCCCTTCCAGTTTACGCATTAGCCAATTTAATGGGCAGCTCCCATGCTCCAAATCTGCTCTGTCCAGCCAGTGAAAAAAAAAAAACTAGGCAGTCTCCAGAGCCATCAATACAGCTATTAAAATAAACAACATAAGAAGAGATTTCTCAGTCTGACTGCAGCTGCTGCTGCTTCCACCATCTCCTTTCTCACTCCAGGGAATCAAACTTCACACTGCGGATGTTTTCACAATACGTCCTCCTGCCCGGCTGCCTGATATGTTAACAACAACCTCAAAACAACACAGGTTTTCCACCTACCTCTTTCTCTAGCTGACTGTAATCGTTGGTCCTTGCAGATTTTAGCCATTTCCCTCCTGAAATTTGTCATCTTATTTTAGACATTTTTTCACCTAAAGCAACCTACTGTCATTGCCACATACACAATTCCAGAGCAGATAGTAAAGGGCAGTGCTGAGGACAAATAGCAGAAACAATATGTTACGTAGACCATGCCCTAAACTAGTTCAGGAATTACAAAGAGAAATGCTGTCCCCATATGAGTCAAGATAGTAATCCAACGTAATACGTAATGGATTACTATTAGCTGTAATAGAGTCAGATTTTTCAACTGTGGTTACTAAAGCTCCAAGTAATGCACTTTATACTGAAAGCTCCCTCTATGGCTACTGCCAGAGGGTCTGAATCCATCAGAGAGGTATTTGGATGAAAATATGGAGGCAAAAGTAGATCCACATTTATACATATGCTCACACACCCCCACCTTCATCCATTCTCCTTCTCCAATCCATCAATATACCTGACCCACTTTCTAAATCTCGTTGTTGCAGATGTTGCTGATGCAAAGCATGTTTCAGCTCATTGGGAAGATACAGTCATCAGAAAAATAATGCAGTGTAGTAGTGTCTTCTT